ACTCAAGGACATTCAGAGACTTGTCCCGAAGCCACTCCTGCGTTGTCTTGGCTGTGTGCTTAGGGTCATTGTCCTGTTGGAAGGTGAACCTTCACCCCAGTCTGAGGTCCTGAGCGCTCTGGAGCAGGTTTTCATCAAGGATCTCTCTGTACTTTGCTCCTTTCATCTTTGCCTCGATCCTGACTAGTCTCCCAGTCCCTGCCGGTGAAAAACATCCCCACAGCATGATGCTGCCACCACCATGCTTCACCTTAGGGATGGTGCCAGGTTTCCTCCAGACTTGACACTTGGCATTCAGGCCAAAGAGTTCAATCTTGGTTTCATCAGACCAGAGAATCTTGTTTCTCATGGTTTGAGTGCTTTAGGTGCCTTTTGGCAAACTCCAAGCAGGCTGTCATGTGTGTTTTACTGAGGAGTGGCTTCCGTCTGGCCACTCTACCATAAAAGCCTGATTGGTGTAGTGCTGCAGAGATGGTTGTTCTTCTTTAATGTTCTCCTATCTCCACAGAGATACTCTGGAGCTCTGTCAGAGTTACCATTGGGTTCTTGGTTACCTCCCTGACCAAGGCCCTTCTCCCCCGATTGCTCAGTTTGGCCGGGCGGCCAGCTCTAGGAAGAGTCTTGGTGGGTCCAAACTGCTTCCATTTAAGAATGGCTTGGTTTTTGCTTTGACATGCACTGTCAACTGTGGGACCTTATAAAGACAGATGTGTGCCTTTCCAAATCATGTCCAATCAATTGAATTGACCACAGGTGGACTACAATCAAGTTGTAGAAACATCTCAAGGATGATCAATGGAAACAGGATGCACCTGAGCTCAACTTTGAGTTTCATAGCAAAGGGTCTGAATACTTATGTAAATAAGGTATTTCTGTTTTAAATTTTTTATACATTTGGAAACATTTCTAAAAACCTGTTTTGACTTTGTCATTATGGGGTATTATGTGTAGACTGATGAGAAAAAAACATATATTTCATAAATTTTAGAATAAGGCTGTAACGTAACAAGATGTGGAAAAGGTCAAGGGGTCTGAATACTTTCCGAGTGCAGCTAGTTGCCGATACAGTGGGAGTTGCAGTGTAAAACTGTAACCCTGGGAGGATGGCATTTATGATCACTGGGATAAACCCTCTAGATTCCGGAAAGGATGGGAGCATTACACACACACACACACACACACACACACACACACACACACACACACACACACACACACACACACACACACACACACAGAGCATAGGGATTTTTGACATCTCTTGGGCTCCTTTAGAGAGAGAGGAATAGGAAATACTATCTCCTGGTCGGTGGGTCGGGTGGTGGGACGCATCTCCTTCAGGCACTTGAGGGATGAGTTGATTTACTGTCAAATCTGCCGGATTATCAAAAGTTTCACACAGACCCCAATCTACTCACAGAGAGCTGTATACACACACACCCAGAGAGAGAGAGAGGTTGTGTGTGTGTTTGTGAGCGTTTGTGTGTGTACAGTCGTGGTCAAAAGTTTTGAGAATGACACAAATATTAATTTTCACAGTCTGCTGCCTCAGTTTTTATGATGGCAATTTACACATACTACAGAATGTTATGAAGAGTGATCAGATGAATTGCAATTAATTGCAAAGTCCCTCTTTGCCATGAAAATTAACTTAATCTCCAGAAAACATTTCCACTGAATTTCAGCCCTGCCACAAAAGGACCAGCTGATCATGTCAGTTATTCTCTCGTTAACACACGTGAGAGTGTTGACGAGGACAAGGCTGGAGATCACTCTGTCATGCTGATTGAGTTAGAATAACAGACTGGAAGCTTTAAAAGGAGGGTGGTGCTTGAAATCATTGTTCTTCCTCTGTTAACCATGGTTACCTGCAAGGAAACATGTGCCGTCATCATTGCTTTGCACAAAAAGGGCTTCACAGGCAAGGATATTGCTGCTAGTAAGATTGCACCTAAATCAACCATTTATCGGATCATCAAGAACTTCAAGAACTTCAAGGACAGAGGTTCAATTGTTGTGAAAAAGGCTTCAGGGCGCCCAAGAAAGTCCAGCAAGCGCCAGGACCGTCTCCTAAAGTTTATTCAGCTGCGGGATCGGGGCACCACCAGTGCAGAGCTTGCTCAGGAATGGCAGCAGGCAGGTGTGAGTGCATCTGCACACACAGTGAGGTGAAGACTTTTGGAGGATGGCCTGGGGTCAAGAAGGGCAGCGTGGAAGCCACTTCTCTCCAGGAAAAACATCAGGGACAGACTGATATTCTGCAAAAGGTACAGGGATTGGACTGCTGAGGACTGGGGAAAGTAATTTTCTCTGATGAATCCCCTTTCCGATTGTTTGGGGCATCCGGAAAAAAGCTTGTCCGGAGAAGACAAGGTGAGTGCTACCATCAGTCCTGTGTCATGCCAACAGTAAAGCATCCTGAGACCATTCATGTGTAAGGTTGCTTCTCAGCCAAGGGAGTGGGCTCACTCACAATTTTGCCTAAGAACACAGCCATGAATAAAGAATGGTACCAACACATCCTCCGAGAGCAACTTCTCCCAACCATCCAAGAACAGTTTGGTGATGAACAATGCCTATTCCAGCATGATGGAGCACCTTGCCATAAGGCAAAAGTGATAACTAAGTGGCTCAGGGAACAAAACATCAACATTTTGGGTCCATGGCCGGGAAACTCCCCAGACCTTAATCCCATTGAGAACTTGTGGTCAATCATTTACATTACATTTGACATTTTAGTCATTTAGCAGACGCTCTTATCCAGAGCGACTTACAGTTAGTGAGTGCATACATATTTTTTTTATATATATATTTTTTCATACCCCCCGTGGGAATCTAACCCACAACCCTGGCGTTGCAAACACCATGCTCTACCAACTGAGCTACATCCCTGGCGGCCATTCCCTCCCCTACCCTGGACGACGCTGGGCCAATTGTGCGCCGCCCCATGGGTCTCCCGGTCGCGGCCGGCTACGACAGAGCCTGGCCTCCTCAAGAGGCGGGTGGACAAACAAAACCCCACAAATTCTGACAAACTCCAAGCATTGATTATGCAAGAATGGGCTGCCATCAGTCAGGATGTGGCACAGAAGTTAATTGACAGCATGCCAAGGCGGATTGCAGAGGTCTTCAAATATTGACTCTTTGCATGAACTTAATGTAATTGTCAATAAAAGCCTTTGACACTTATGGAATGCTTGTAATTATACTTCAGTATACCATAGTAACATCTGACAAAAACATCTAAAAACACAGAAGCAGCAAACTTTGTGAAGACCAATACTTGTGTCATTCTCAAAACTTTTGACCACGACTGTATGTGTGCAAATGTGTGTACGCATGTTCGTACTTTGCTCCAAATAGGCTACCCAAGAAAGACAGAAGGGCTTCTGCCCAGAGAACCAAAAAAATGCTTCAATTTTCCACTTGAGCAGATTTCAATTTACACACACATCTCTCTCTGTCCTCTGGGTTATTGACAGCATTAAGACTGCTGTGATAAAAGATTGGCCACTTAGTGGGACTCAGACTTTGTTTTTCTCTGCTAAGGACACTCACTCACAGAATGGCGAGGGTGGCTATAGTGAACTGTCACTTTTGTCACTGGTGGGTGTACCTCTCCGATGAAGGATCTTATGCCCAAATAGGTTGGTTTTTAGTTGATGAAGAAACATTTTCCTATTTAATTTATATTTCTGGATATTTCTTAAGGAGGTGTGGTGCCTAGAATCATTGTGTTTATGTGTGGCAGACATACTGTGTGTAGGGCCAGAGCATTACAAAGCAGCCAAGGGCAGCCAGCTACTCTATCCCCTAGCCTTTAAAACAAAGAGTGTGTGTGTGTGTGTGTGTGTGTGTGTGTGTGTGTGTGTGTGTGTGTGTGTGTGTGTGTGTGTGTGTGTGTGTGTGTGTGTGCGCGCGCTCTCCTGCATGTGTGTGTGTGTCTGTGTGTGTGCGGGCGCTACTGTGTAGTTGTGTGTTTGTGCGCTCCTGTGCGTATGTGTGCGCGCTCCTGAATTCACATGTCTGTGTCTCCCACCCTTTTGTGGAGCCATTAGCATTGCTATCAGGAAGAGCAGACCCAGATGCATATGTCAGGCCACTGAGAGTCAATTACCTCAGCCAGAGACAGCCATTGTGTTTGTCTGTGTGCCCTGGCCTATTGGTATTTAAGACAGATATATTAATATAGCCGACTCACTGATCAACATGAACTTTACCTGGCACTTTATGGAGAGACGACACCACCCCGAAAGTCTGACATTAACAAATTGTTATCTTTGAGTGTTTTATTATACACTGAGTGTACAAAACATTAGGAACACCTTCCTAATATTGAGTTGCAGCCCCTTTTGCCCTCAGAACAGCCTCAATTCATCTGTGCATGGACTCTACAAGGTGTCGAAAGCGTTCCATAGGGATGCCCATGTTGACTCCAATGCTTCCCACAGTTGTGTCAAGTTGGCTGGATGTCCTTTGGGTGGTGGACCATTCTTGACACACACGGGAGACTGTTCAGCGAGAAAAACCCAGCAGCATTGCAGTTCTTGACACACTCAAACCGGTGCGCCTGGTACCTACTACCATACCCCGTTCAAAGGCACTTAAATATTTTGTCTTGCCCATTTACCCTCTGAACGCCACACATACACAATCCATGTCTCAAGGCTTAAAAATCCTTCTTTAACCTGTCTCCTCCCCTTCATCTACACTGATTGAAGTGGATTTAACAAGTGACATCAATAAGGGATCATAGCTTTCACCTGGATTCACCTGGTCAGTCTATTTCATGGAAAGAGTAAGTGTTCTTAATGTTTTGTACACTCAGTGTGTATTTGTTTAGATCTGTTAAAGATAGCAGTGGTATTTATTTACAGTGCAGGTGATGATGAAGACTGGATACAGAGGTTGAAGACAAAAAAGGTTTGCAGTAACTTACTTGACCATACCTTGAAAATGACCATAACTTCTGCCTCCCTTCTGACAATCTCTCCGTCCAGGTGGTCTACAAGAATAACGACATCCGTCTGGAGCTCTCCCGTCTGGCCCGCATCGTAGACCCTAAGATGAAGATCCAGGGGGACGTGGTGTTTAAGTGTGAGAACGTGGCCACCCTGGACCCTATCTCCTTCGAGACCCCCGAGGCCTTTATCAGCCTGCCCAAGTGGAACACCAAGAGGATGGGCTCCATCTCCTTTGATTTCAGGACCTCGGAACCCAACGGACTCATCTTATTCACCCACGGCAAGCCCCAGGAACGCAAGGAGGCCCAACGCAGCCAGAAGAACACCAAGGTAAGCCAATGAATGATGAATGGATCAAACAAACAATTCACCTTAGCCTTTAGGCAAAGCTGTGTCTAAACTTGTAAAGAATCCATTCAATAGTGTAATAAGAAACCAAAGATCTGTATTCAAGGATTTTGTAAAGTCTTGGATTTATATATCCTGTTTTGTAAAGATATCTGTTGTACCCCTATGATGAACTGAACACCTTGACGATCTCCCTTAGGTCGACTTCTTTGCAGTGGAGCTGCTGGATGGCAGTCTATACCTACTGTTAGACATGGGCTCTGGGACCATCAAGGTCAAAGCCACCCAGAACAAGGTCAATGACGGGGCCTGGTACCACGTAGACATACAGAGGGATGGACGCTCAGGTGAGTCCTCTTACCTAATACCCTGTTCCTGCTGCCCCACTCTCTACTTCCCTATCCCCATCTCTCTATCACTCCCTTCTCTCGCTCTCTCTCCTTCCCCTTTCTCTCCATCTTCAGGACCCTTTATCTATCACTCTTGCCCTTGAGTGTGTGTGTGTGTGTGTGTGAGTGAGTGTCTGTGTGTGTGTGTGTGTGTGTTGTTGTATCGATGTGAGTGCAGCGTATCACTCTCTGCCCAGTGCTGGGCCTGTGGGGGTCTCAGAGTGCAGACAGCCTGTTAGACAATGCTGGGATGGCATGGCCAGGTGACTCACTGCAGCACATATTACTGCTACTGATATACCACTGCCGCCATACACACATTGGCATACACACACTCACACACACACACATGGGTGCACACATACACACACATGGGCGTACACATAGACGAACACAGAAGCACGTTTACACACTGTTCAAGCGCACTCTGGATCTGAGTGAAGGACACACAGAGAGGCCACAGACACACTCTGCTGCTTGGCTTGAGACATAAACAGAGATAAGCCTGTCATACAGAAGTGTCTGCGCTGTAACTGTCTCAATGTTCTCTCTCTCTTGTTCTATCCCTCTCTCCCTCTCTCTGAGGGATACTTACAATCACAAATCTCATATATCTTCTCTAAGCTGTGAGACTCTATTTGAGTGAGAGCATCAGGAAACCCTGTGCCCTCTATCGATCCCTTATACAGACAATGGCTTACCAATACGTTATGCTATACTCAATATCTTCAAGGCTGTCAGCCTTCAAAACTCTACCATCATTGTAGATGAGTGTGGAAAAGTAAAGCTACGCTGGCCTAGTAAAGTACAATTTTTGAATATATTTATTGAGCACACAGATTCCAATTGGGCCCACATAGGCTAGAGCAGGGGTATTCAACTCTGACCCTACGAGGTCCGGAGCCTGCTGGTTTTCTCTTCTACCTGATCATTAATTGCACCCACCTGGTGTACCAGGTCTAAATCAGTCCTTGATGAGAGGGGAACAATGGAAAAAAAGCAGTGGAACTGGCTTCGAGGTCCAGATTTGTGTTTGAGGGTGCTAGTTTGGAAATCCCTGTCCTACAGTGCAAGGGAGTACTGTCTTATCTAACAATGGTAGAGATACAATGTAAAAATGTTTGATTTAATAATGTGGTTTTAAACCATCTCCTCTCCCTCTCCAGGCACCATCTCAGTCAACAGCCGGCGCACCCCGTTCACAGCCAGCGGTGAGAGTGAGATCCTGGACCTGGAAGGAGACATGTACCTTGGGGGTCTACCCTCGGACCGTGCCAACCTCATCCTGCCCACCGAGCTGTGGACCGCCATGCTCAACTACGGCTACGTGGGCTGCGTGCGCGACCTCTTCATCGACGGGCGCAGCAAGGACATCCGGCAGATCGCTGAGGCCCAGAACGGGGCGGGCATCAAGCCGTCGTGCAACAAGGTGGTGGGGAAACAGTGCGAGAGCTACCCATGTAAGAACAGAGGCGTCTGTAAGGAGGGATGGAACCGGTTTATCTGTGATTGTACCGGCACGGGGTACTGGTCACGCACCTGCGAGAGAGGTAGGTGGAAGCGATTGGTTTGTGTGTTTTGCATGCATGCTTGTGTGTGTGTGTTCCAACTGTGTACAGTGCATTCGGAAAGTATTCAGACCCCTTTACTTTTTCCACACTTATTCTAAAATGGATTAAATAGTTTTTCCCCCCACATCAATCTACACACAATACCCCATAATGACAATGCAAAAACAGGTTTTTAGAAATTTGTGCAAATGTATAAAAAAACAAACAGGAAATAACACATTTACATAAGTATTCAGACCGTTTACTCAGTACTTTGTTGAAGCACCTTTTGCAGCAATTACAGCCTCGAGTCTTCTTGGGTATGACGCTACAGGCTTGGCACACCTGTATTTGCGGAGTTTCTCCCATTCTTCTCTGCAGATCCTCTCAAGCTCTGTCAGGTTGGATGGGGAGCGTCACTGCACAGCTATTTTCAGGTCTCTCCAGAGATGTTCGATCGGGTTCAAGTCCGGGCTCTTGCTGGGCCACTCAAGGACATTTAGAGACTTGCGTTGTCTTGGCTGTGTGCTTAGTGTCGTTGTCCTGTTGGAAGGTGAACCTTTGCCCCAGTCTGAGGTCCTGAGTGCTCTGAAGCAGGTTTTTAACAAGGATCTCTCTGTACGTTGCTACGTTCATCTTTCCCTCAATCCTGACTAGTCTCCCAGTCCCTGCCGCTGAAAAACATCCCCACAGCATGATGCTGCAACTACCATGCTTCACCATAGGGATGGTGCCAGGTTTCCTCCAGACGTGACGCTTGGCATTCAGGCCAAAGAGTTCAATCTTGGTTTCATCAGACCAGAGAATCTTCTTTCTCATGGTCTAAGAGTACTTTAGGTGCTTTTTGGCAAACTCCAAACGGGCTGTCATGTGCCTTTTACTGAGGAGTGGCTTCCGTCTGGCCACTCTACCGTAAAGGCCTGATTGGTGGATTGCTGCAGAGATGGTTGTCCTTCTGGAAGGTTCTCCCATCTCTACAGAGGATCTCTGGAGCTCTGTCAGAGTGACCATCGGGTTCTTGGTCACCTCCCTGACCAAGGCCTTCTCCCCCGATTGGTCAGTTTGGCTGGGCGGCCAGCTCTAGGAAGAGTCTTTTTTTATTTAATTTAATTTTCGTATTTATTTAAATTTATATAAAAAAATAATAATAATCTGCTTTAATATTGCAGATAGATTGTTACTTCCATCGATGTAATTGTCTGCATCACTTTCAATTCCACATTTGTTTTTTTCCCCCTCAAATATATATACAGTGGGGAACAAAAGTATTTAGTCAGCCACCAATTGTGCAAGTTCTCCCACTTAAAAAGATGAGAGAGGCCTGTAATTTTCATCATAGGTACACGTCAACTATGACAGACAAAATGAGAAAAGAAAATCCAGAAAATCACATTGTAGGATTTTTTATGAATTTATTTGCAAATTATGGTGGAAAATAAGTATCTGGTCACCTACAAACAAGCAAGATATCTGGCTCTCACAGACCTGTAACTTCTTCTTTAAGAGGCTCCTCTGTCCTCCACTCGTTACCTGTATTAATGGCACCTGTTTGAACTTGTTATCAGTATAAAAGACACCTGTCCACAACCTCAAACAGTCACACTCCAAACTCCACTATGGCCAAGACCAAAGAGCTGTCAAAGGACACCAGAAACAAAATTGTAGACCTGCACCAGGCTGGGAAGACTGAATCTGCAATAGGTAAGCAGCTTGGTTTGAAGAAATCAACTGTGGGAGCAATTATTAGGAAATGGAAGACATACAAGACCACTGATAATCTCCCTCGATCTGGGGCTCCACGCAAGATCTCACCCTGTGGGGTCAAAATGATCACAAGAACGGTGAGCAAAAATCCCAGAACCACACGGGGCGACCTAGTGAATGACCTGCAGAGAGCTGGGACCAAAGTAACAAAGCCTACCATCAGTAACACACTACGCCGCCAGGGACTCAAATCCTGCAGTGCCAGACGTGTCCCCCTGCTTAAGCCCGTACATGTCCAGGCCCGTCTGAAGTTTGCTAGAGTGCATTTGGATGATCCAGAAGAGGATTGGGAGAATGTCATATGGTCAGATGAAACCAAAATATAACTTTTTGGTAAAAACTCAACTCGTCGTGTTTGGAGGACAAAGAATGCTGAGTTGCATCCAAAGAACACCATACCTACTGTGAAGCATGGGTGTGGAAACATCATGCTTTGGGGCTGTTTTTCTGCAAAGGGACCTGGACGACTGATCCGTGTAAAGGAAAGAATGAATGGGGCCATGTATCGTGAGATTTTGAGTGAAAACCTCCTTCCATCAGCAAGGGCATTGAAGATGAAACGTGGCTGGGTCTTTCAGCATGACAATGATCCCAAACACACCGCCCGGGCAACGAAGGAGTGGCTTCGTAAGAAGCATTTCAAGGTCCTGGAGTGGCCTAGCCAGTCTCCAGATCTCAACCCCATAGAAAATCTTTGGAGGGAGTTGAAAGTCTGTGTTGCCCAGCGACAGCACCAAAACACCACTGCTCTAGAGGAGATCTGCATGGAGGAATGGGCCAAAATACCAGCAACAGTGTGTGAAAACCTTGTGAAGACTTACAGAAAACATTTGACATGTGTCATTGCCAACAAAGGGTATATAACAAAGTATTGAGAAACTTTTGTTATTGACCAAATACTTATTTTCCACCATAATTTGCAAATAAATTCATTAAAAATCCTACAATGTGATTTTCTGGAGAAAAAAAATCTCATTTTGTCTGTCATAGTTGACGTGTACCTATGATGAAAATTACAGGCCTCTCTCATCTTTTTAAGTGGGAGAACTTGCACAATTGGTGGCTGACTAAATACTTTTTTCCCCCACTGTATATATACATACATACACATACATATACACATACATACATATAAATACATATCCTTTAAAAAATATATTTCCCTTTATTACTTTCCAACCCCAACACCCCTTCCCTAATTTGTGTAAACTAGTGAACAACAATGCTTAGGCCTCTATTCCAGCTTATACATACTATATACATTTTATGGACACAGTCAATTTTACAATAATTCTATTGTATTTTTATTTTTTTTGAACTTCCTCTACCCTCAACCTCTCCGATCATTTTCATGATGTCCATCCGGTTTGCTTCTATATGTCATATCTTTCAAACTCTGCTCTTTCACAAAAGCTGTCAACCTATAACATATATACTTATTATGGACACAGTATGCTTTACATTAGTTATCTTGGTGTTATTAGTTTTTGTTGTTATTTGTCCCATCCTTCAACTCCATTCAACACTACCCATCTGTCTCTTAACACCATCCATATTGGATTTCTATTTGCCATATATTTTTCAACTGTACTGTGATGTTTTACAAAAGTTATGAACCCTTTTATTCTCATTGTTTATACAGATTGTAAATTGAAAATATAAATTTTTTGCTAAAAGTAATATTATATTATTGATCGATTGACTCTGACTTTTCAGATCACCCAGTAGTGCTATCTGCAGGGTTAGCTCCAGGTAAATATTGCAATCCTTTAGCCATTCCTAGACCTGTATCCAAAAACAAGCTACAAATGGACAGTACCAAAACTCTCTCTTCGCAGCAAAATCTGCAGAGGTGGGAAGATTGTATCCCCCATATAAATAACATTCTATTGGTAGCAAGAATTTTGAATAATAATTTAAATTGAACAATTCTACATTTTGAATCCGGCGTCGTTTTGCACTATGCCATCGAATCGGTACGTCAAAAATCTCTTCCCAACTATTTTGCAATCTATATGGGACGGCTGTCAATCCTTTCGTCCTTAAATGAAACTGGTATACTTTTTTATTTATCACAATTTTCTTTAACCAATTATGTTCTTTAATGCAGGGCCGACAGACAAGTTCCTTACTTTTACCCCCTTCCACTTTCCTCTTCCATTTTTGCGGTAATGCTGCAATTATTTGGTTGTAATTTTGGGTAGAGTCTAGGAAGAATCTTGATGGTTCCAAACTTCTTCCATTTAAGAATGATGGAGGCTCCTGTGTTCTTGGGGACCTTCATTGCTGCAGAATTTTTTTGGTACCCTTCCCCAGATTTGTGCCTTGACACAATCCTGTCTCGGAGCTCTAGGGACAATTCCTTCGACCTCATGGCTTGGTTTTTGCTCTGACATGCACTTTCAACTGTGTGATCTTCTATCGACAGGTGTTTGCCTTTCCATATCATGTCCAATCAATTGAATTTACCACAGGTGGACTCCAATCAAGTTGTAGAAACATCTCAAGGATGATCAATGGAAACAGGATGCACCTGAGCTCAAGTTCGAGTCTCATAGCAATGGGTTAGAATAGTTATGTAAATAAGATATTTCCGTTTTTTATCTTTAATACATGTGCAAAAATGTCTAAAAACCTGTTTTGCTCTGTCATTATGGGGTATTGTGTGTAGATTGATGAGATTTTATATTTATTTAATCCATTTTAGAAGACTGTTATGTAACAAAATGTGGAAAAAGGGAAGGGGTCTGAATACTTTACGAATGCACTGTATGTGCGTGTGTGTTTTGCATGTATTGTTGTATGGATTTGATTTGCATTTACGTCATTTAGCAGACGCTCTTAACCAGAGCGACTTACAGGAGCAAATAGGGTTAAGTGCCTTGCTCAAGGGCACATCGACAGATTTTTCACTTAGTCTGCTCAGGGATTAGAACCAGCAACCTTTTGGTTAGTGGCCCAACGCTCTTAATCGCTAGGGTGCCTCTGCTGCCCAGAGGTTAAGAACTCACTGGTCCTTGTTGACTGCGTTTACTGTTTTCTTCCTGTGAAATGGTTTATTAAAACATTAGTGGACCTTTGGCCATGCTCCGCGTGTCAGAGGGAGGTTAAGGCTCTAGAGGAGGTTGTGGTGAATGCTTTATTGTTGACACTGTTGAAAGATTAATGTGGTTTTTGCCCTTTTCTTGTGAACTTTACTCTGCCCAAGGCAACCCAGCGTTAAAGTTTTATGACC